ATATCTGCTTTGTTCCTCTGCTAACAGCATAAACCACTTCTGGCAAGTTTTCCTGATGCAAAGAAGAAAAAAAGTGACAGGGGGATTAAGCTACAGCACACAGCCTGTGATTGACAGCCTCAGCTCTGTTCCTATGGACAGCATGAAGCAGGTGTGTCCCTTCTCACCAATCAGCTCTCACTGCACTCCACAGAGAGTACACTTCAGCTCCCTGCCCTGTTATCTGAAAGCTCAGACAAGCTGTATACATTCTGCACTTTGGATAAATGTGGAGAAGAGAAGGCTGCAGATAAACAGATAAAACGTATGTAGGAGGATTTGTTTCATCTCTGTGTATCACCCGAGGCCAGTCACTTCACTGGGTATATGTAAGGGTTTACAAACACTAACGCCACATGGGTGTGTAGGAGGCATCACCTTTGCTGCATACTTGTGGAGATGACATTGGGTGACAGTATGTGAAGAGCCCAACCAATAAAATCTGGAGTCCCATCAAGTTTTTCAAACAGCCGCTCTCTCTCAGCTTCACTTAGTGTCTTGGAATCTGAAGGTAAAAAAAAAAAAAGAGAATAAAATAAAGCTGATGATCAGCACTGAGTGCAGAAACTGTGTATGTTTTCAACCATCCTAAATTCAGGTTAGTTCAGGTAATGGGGATGCCTCATTTCTTTCGGACAGAAGAGATTACATATCACATGCAGTACACACAGGGGCGGACTGACAACTCATGGGGCCCCCGGGCAATAGGGGATCATGGGGCCCGTGTCCTTGCCCAAACTCAAAAAAGCCTATGAAAAAGGTACCAGGGGCATCTCATGGGGCCCCCTACTGACCCTGGACCTCGGGAAGTGCCCGAGTTTCCAAATGGTCAGTCCGCCCGAGTACACATAAGAAGCCTTGGACTACGTCATCCTGATTTATAATGGGGGGGGTGAGGGTGGAAGTGAGGTGTTGGTTTACTAGGATTTTTAATTTAGCAACTTTGTAATTAATAACACAAAACTGTGACTGGGAATATTCAGCGTTGCTTCTGTTTTTACCTTTATTTGTATTGCACATTTCCATGTTCACCCCATGGAAAGCACTTTACAGGTCACGTGAGCATGGAAGGGGCACATAGGAACAAGGGGCACATAGGAACAAGGGGCACTATTGTACAATAGCCTTGGAGATCCGCTTCCCCTTTATGCTCTCCAGACAATACGACCATCATGAACCCCTTCACTACTCTCTCCAGACAATACGACCATCATGAACCCCTTCACAACTCTCTACAGACAATACGACCATCATGAACCCCTTCACTACTCTCTCCAGACACTACGACCATCATGAACCCCTTCACTACTCTCTCCAGACACTACGACCATCATGAACCCCTTCACAACTCTCTACCGACACTACGACCATCATGAACCCCTTCACTACTCTCTACAGACAAAATACGACCATCATGAACCCCTTCACTACTCTCTACAGACAACACGACCATCATGAACCCCTTCACTACTCTCTACAGACAATACGACCATCGTGAACCCCTTCACTACTCTCTACAGACAACACGACCATCATGAACCCCTTCATTACTCTCTACAGACAATACAACCATCATGAACCCCTTCACTACTCTCTCCAGACAATACGACCATCATGAACCCCTTCACTACTCTCTACAGACAACACGACAATCATGAACCCCTTCACTACTCTCTACAGACAATACGACCATCATGAACCCCTTCACTACTCTCTACAGACAATACGACCATCATGAACCCCTTCACTACTCTCTACAGACAATACGACCATCATGAACCCCTTCACTACTGGGGCCATTTTTAAGTTTTACACACGCATGTTAATCCAAATTATTCCTGGAAAATTACTTTAATCCTCTAACATTATATATTTTCTGAAAACAAAATCTGTGTAAAATCTAATCACAGGTTTTTTTATTTTACAAGCCATTTTTGCAATGTTAAATCGACTCTATATTTTAGGTAACAAAATACAAAAAACATTTTTAATGCACAAAAACAAAATCGGCTGCATTACACAAAGAGGGAGGAACTGATGGTGTTGCTCCCTCTCCATGAGGACAGAAACCAAAAGCGATGAGGATTTTGTCACTTACGGTTTTGGTTCTGTGTTTACTGGCTCCTTACTGGCAACCAGGAGAGATTTGAGGTCTAATAGACTCCAGATATCTCCATAAAGAGGATCTGTCATGCTTATTGCCATCAGTTGCGAATATATATATATATATATATATATATATATATATAAAAGGGGGGAAATCGTGTAAAAAAAAAGTTTTGAATTAAAAAAACAAAATTTACTGCGCCCCCACCCCCTGTGCTCACGCATGAAGGCCAACGCATACACAAGTCCCACACGGATATGTAAATGGTGATTGAACCACACATGTGTGGTACTGTTGCAAATGTCAGAGAGAGAATAATAATTCTAGCAACAGAACTCCAGTGGGACTCTAAAACTGGTAACCTAAAGGCTTTTAAAGCAACATCTATGAACATTATTAGGTACCATATTTCCATATTTCGGCGCTGTTCCACGGCCATACGCAGTTTTAAAGCATGACATCTTAGGTATCCATTTACTCGGCGTAACATCATCTTTCACATTTTACAAACAAATTGGGTAATATACTGTGTTTGTGTTCACTAACATTCATTAAAGCATTTTTTCCAAAACAATTTGCATTTGGAAAACCGTTGTGTAAATTCCATGTGACAAAAAAATTGAACCACCATTTTATGCTCTAGGGCCTCTGCTTCAAAAGCAAAAAAAAAAAAAAAAAAAATATATATATATATATATATATATATATATATATATATATATATATATATATATATATATATATATATATATAATGTTTGGGGGCTCCAAGTTGTTTTCTAGCAAAAAAAGCTGATTTTTACGTGTATGTGAGAAGTGTCAGAAATGGCCTGCTAGGTAAGTAGTTATTTATTTTGTCATATCCGTCAGCCATTGGGGCCCCCCTGGAAGCCTTGACAAAAGACTCCCAGTTGGCAATCCCTATGTCCTGCCCTGTTGTTAGGATGCGAAAACTGTTGGTTTTCATGCCTGTAACCCTGGGAGTGAGCATTCAAATGGTTTCACGGTTATCTCAAAATCTCTCTTTTTCCAATTGTTGATTACTAGGAGACAGAGAGAGAATAGTCCAGGGGGCTTGCTTTGCTTTACAATCATCATACAAACTCAAAATAGTAGTGGCATAAATAAACGTGGGTACAGCTGTGTGTATAGACTGTGTGGGTTAAGTTGCTGGTACATTACAAAAAGCAAAAACAGATTGCAATACCAGGCATGTGTTGATGCAAGGCGACGAGAACAGATCTCACTATCCACCACAAGCCAGTGCTGTCCTACGAAAAAAGTAGCTCCTTTTATAACAGGAGCAGCAAACCCTGTATACAGGACCTGCCTGTCTACAGTATAAGTTGGAGGTATGCTCTGATTTTCTGCTGAAAACGTAGACATAGGTGTACATTACTTACCTGCAACTTTCAGATCCTCCAAATCCTTCTTTCGGGACACAGGACAATAACATATTCCGTACACCATAGGGCCTGCAACACAGAGAAATAAAAATGACAATAGTGCAGGAAGTGAAAGTTCTGCTCTTGTAGTTACTGGTCTTCAAGGGCTCATTTACACCAGGTGCATTAGGACTTGCTGCGCAATCCAGTCCAACGCAGTCCCAAAGCAAGAAAAAGCAAAAAGCTTTGTTCCCCATCACTCCAGTTTACACCACCACAGGTATGGCAAGCAGTACTTTTTTTTTTCAGCACAGCATACTGCAACGTAATCCGCTACATCACAACGCAGCCAATAGAAGAGCAAACTGTGAAGCGCCAGAATCAGTGCATCAGCAGTAATCCATTGCATTCAGCGTTACTGCTGGTGTGAACGAGCCCTCGAGGCTGAACTCCAGGATTTCTTTTTTCTTGGAAACATCTCATGTTAAACACATTCTCTCTAATGACAACTATCCTAGGCCCAGAAGGCTGCTGGTTACTGCAAAAATCATAGCTGCTCTGATGCAGGATCTTACGTACAGAACTAGAAAAGCTTCAATTTCTGGAGAAATTGTGTGAAGTGTTCTTGCCTCCACCAGTAGTCTACAACTGGAGTGGGTGGAGTAACTGGGTGGAGTGGCTGGAGTAACTGTTGTGTGGGTGGAGTGGCTGGAGTAACTGTTGTGTGGGTGGAGTGGCTGGAGTAACTGTTGTGTGGTTGGAGTGGCTGGAGTAACTGTTGTGTGGGTGGAGTGGCTGGAGTAACTGTTGTGTGGGTGGAGTGGCTGGAGTAACCGTTGTGTGGTTGGAGTAACTGTTGTGTGGTTGGAGTGGCTGGAGTAACCGTTGTGTGGTTGGAGTAACTGTTGTGTGGTTGGAGTGGCTGGAGTAACCGTTGTGTGGGTGGAGTGGCTGGAGTAACTGTTGTGTGGTTGGAGTGGCTGGAGTAACCAATGTGTGGGGTGGAGTGGCTGGAGTAACTGTTGTGTGGTTGGAGTGGCTGGAGTAACTGTTGTGTGGTTGGAGTGGCTGGAGTAACCGTTGTGTGGTTGGAGTGGCTGGAGTAACCAATGTGTGGGTGGAGTGGCTGGAGTAACCAATGTGTGGGTGGAGTGGCTGGAGTAACCAATGTGTGGGTGGAGTGGCTGGAGTAACTGTTGTGTGGTTGGAGTGGCTGGAGTAACCATTGTGTGGTTGGAGTGGCTGGAGTAACCATTGTGTGGTTGGAGTGGCTGGAGTAACTGTTGTGTGGTTGGAGTGGCTGGAGTAACCGTTGTGTGGTTGGAGTGGCTGGAGTAACTGTTGTGTGGTTGGAGTGGCTGGAGTAACCAATGTGTGGGTGGAGTAACTGTTGTGTGGTTGGAGTGGCTGGAGTAACCGTTGTGTGGTTGGAGTGGCTGGAGTAACTGTTGTGTGGTTGGAGTGGCTGGAGTAACTGTGAAAAGGTTGGACTGGGCAGAGTAACTTTATGGAGTGGGCAGAGTAACTGTGTGGAGTGTTTGGCGTAAAGATAGTAAACATTACACTAACCCAGTGGTGGGCAACCTTTTTTTTTCAACTGAGCCAAATCTCGCCAAAACCACGATTGAAATTTATTTTGAGAGCCACATTTTTAAAACTGAAAATACATCTCCCATATAGTAATTCATCCCCCATATAGTAATTCATCCCCCGTATAGTAATTCATCCCCCGTATAGTAATTCATCCCCCGTATAGTAATTCATCCCCCGTATAGTATTTCATCCCCCGTATAGTATTTCATCCCCCGTATAGTATTTCATCCCCCGTATAGTATTTCATCCCCCGTATAGTATTTCATCCCTCATATAGTATTTCATCCCTCATATAGTATTTCATCCCTCATATAGTATTTCATCCCTCATATAGTATTTCATCCCTCATATAGTATTTCATCCCCCACAGTACTATTTCCCCCCCCCCTTCTAGTAAGCCAAGTCCCCCGTGTCAATTCACTTACCTTTGCTCCGCGCGTTCCTCTCGCTGTCTTCCCGCGCCGTTCGGGTCTTCAGGGCGGACTGTGAGAGGAGCCTAGCTCCCCTCCCCTCACGTTCGGCATGCTGCCCCGCCTACACACATCCTGACAGCCACATCCGCGGGCCGGATTAAAAGGTCCGCGCGGACTTTTTGGGGCGAACAACCGAGAGGAGGCAGGGGAGCGGCCGACCGAGAGGAGGGAGGGGAGCAGGCGCCCGGCACACAGAAGAGCCGCATTAGAGTGGGTAAAGAGCCGCATGTGGCTCGCGAGCCGCGGCTTGCCGACCACTGCACTAACCAATTGATTGATCAAATTTAAAAAGTGCACATGGCAAGCTTGATAGAGTGAGAAATGCATTTCAACTTTTAATTATTTATATAGCACATTTAATTGCAATGTTGTTGCCCAAAGTGTTTCACAGGTACATTAAAACATACATTTATAAAAACATTAGCAGCATTATCACCTCAAATACTCTCTACTGTAGAAAACTTATTTCCAAACCTTTAACCAGAAGCCGGCCAAACTGTCACCAATTCAAAATTAGATTTCAAATAGGGCAGAGAAGAGCGGTTAAAAACAAACTGCTCCAAATTGCTCACTTCACTGGCGTCTTCAAATGGTTGTAGTTTTAAAAACTATAAATCCTACAGTGAAGAGCTTTATATTGTGAGCATCACCAGACCCAGACCTAAATTGTGATGCATAGTATGTCTCTGAAATATTAAAAATGAAGGCACAGTCGCAGTTTAGAATTTGCCCTTCAAATTTGAGGTGGCTAGAGTGGATTTTCGATGAATGTCAATGGGTGGCGTGAGTTGAAAACAAATGGTCATATTGTGAAAACTATCAGGATTATGGCTTAGCCGTGGACATTTTTAGTGGCAGCAGGGATAGCTGAACGTTTTTGATATAAGATTTGTGTAGTTGGGCTTGAAAATGAGGGAGTGATGGCACTTTAGAAATCATGTCCTGATTTTTCAGCTCACACTCTAGTTTTGAACATTGCGTCATTCATTCCTATGGGACCAATTTCACCACAAAAAATGCAGATATTTCGTGAACCATTCGGCGAAACGTTCCACAAAGTAATAGCACACCAATCGGGAACAATCCGCACGTTTCGATATATTACTGTCTATGTAGTGTAAAAACTGTGGGAGGAGTTAGGGGGGTAAATTTGGCTATAATAATAAGAATATATATGTGAGATAACAGGCAGTGGTCGCCATGCAAGAACACTTAAATATACTTCCAGCACGGCAATGTAATAGCTCTTCCACAAGAAAATGCATCTACCTTCCTGCTCGCTCTCTTCTCTGGTGATGCAAAATGCACTGCGTATGCATAGCTCAGCTTACAGTGCCATCACTGTCCCTGTGTACTAAAATGATGGCCTCCTATGCATGCTTAGGAGCAGGGGCGGACTGACAACTCATGCGGCCCCCGGGCAATAGGGGAACATGGGGCCCCTGTGTCCTTGCCCAAACTCAAAAAAGCCTATGAAAAAGGTACCAGGGGCATCTCATGGGGCCCCCTACTGACCCCAGGCCCTTGGGCAATGCCCAAATTTCCAAATGGTCAGTCCGCCCCTGCTTAGGAGTGGCATCACCTGCACCGGCTTACAGAGATGGCCAAAACCCAGCACACAGGGGAAGATGCTGGTGAGGGTTGGGGACTGTTGGAGGGAAAGACAAGTATTGAACCCTTTTGTGCCGCTGTAGGGCCCTTTCACACAGGTTCGTTTTTTATGCACTTTTGGGGTTTAAAAAGCAGAACAAAAATGCACGAAAGATGTATCCCTTTAAATCCTACGGAACTCTTCACATCAATAAGCTGTGGGTGCGGAACATTGTTAAAAAGTCCTGCACGCTGCATTTTTGGGGCATGTTTAAAACGTGCTCCCAAAATGCACCTCCTCGTTGAAATGAATAGAATATGTATCAAAAGTGAACTGTGAGGTTGTGCGCTTACCACAAGTACACACAATATGAGCATTGTATGTAATTAACAGCAACCGGGCATCATGGTCTGGTCAACCGTATCCTGGGCACCATCTGGCCATGTATGGACATCCGGGTCACAGGTACAACGCTATCCAGGCCCCTTCTGGCTTTCAAATCCAAAAACGCCACCTTGCATAAGCTCATAAAGAACGAGCCGGGAGGCAAGAAAGCGCTAATAGTAAAGTACGTTTATTTAAGAACATAAAACAAAAACCAAACAGCCAGGACTCACATTGATATAATAATAAAGATCCAGGCCCACATCAATCAGCTCCCTGATGGTCAGTGGTACACTCAACATGCAGCGCATACAGATCAAAGTAAAATCAATAGAACCCTGGTGGTCAGTGGTATCACAAATACATAGCCATAGAGTATGGTGAGTATAAACAGAAATATACTCATCCAGGTCAGGTGAGGTAGTTCCCTGGTGGCTAGTGGATCTCTTAGTAACAAAGGCGTCAATAGGGTGGATCCCCTAACATGTTTCGAGCTAAAGCTCGTTTTCAAAGGGGCCGGATTAAAAGGTCCGCGCGGACCTTTGAAAACGAGCTTTAGCTCGAAACATGTTAGGGGATCCACCCTATTGACGCCTTTGTTACTAAGAGATCCACTAGCCACCAGGGAACTACCTCACCTGACCTGGATGAGTATATTTCTGTTTATACTCACCATACTCTATGGCTATGTATTTGTGATACCACTGACCACCAGGGTTCTATTGATTTTACTTTGATCTGTATGCGCTGCATGTTGAGTGTACCACTGACCATCAGGGAGCTGATTGATGTGGGCCTGGATCTTTATTATTATATCAATGTGAGTCCTGGCTGTTTGGTTTTTGTTTTATGTTCTTAAATAAACGTACTTTACTATTAGCGCTTTCTTGCCTCCCGGCTCGTTCTTTATGAGCTTATGCAAGGTGGCGTTTTTGGATTTGAAAGCCAGAAGGGGCCTGGATAGCGTTGTACCTGTGACCCGGATGTCCATACATGGCCAGATGGTGCCCAGGATACGGTTGACCAGACCATGATGCCCGGTTGCTGTTAATTACATACAATGCTCATATTGTGTGTACTTGTGGTAAGCGCACAACCTCACTAATTTCTCTTATTGCATCGTTTGTGATCTGGAACATCATTGGATCATTCCCATCTTTTCAGGCTGGAATATATGAACTATTATATGAACTGCTGTATTGGTACTTCATATCATAAACAGTCCCGTGTTTATTATCTGTTCTCTAGCGCTGCATACCCCATTTATAGCTTATGTTCCAAGGTATTGAGGATTACCCTGTATGTCAGCTGCTTATTTGATCTGTTTGCGCTCACTTACCCACCTTTGTTAAAAGTGAACTGTGGTTGCCTTTTTAACGCACTTTGAGTCACATGTCCATGTTTCCCAGGTGCATGATTAGAGTCAGGCAACTAGAGAATGCACTAAAAACACATAAAAATGCATATGCGTTGCTACCATGCTTTTTTCAATGGTGCAGTGTGAAAGGGCCGTTAAAGTGGTTATAAAGTCCGAGCATTTTTTACCTTAATGCAAACCTTGCATTAAGGTACAAAACATCTAGATAGTAGCATCCCCCCCCCCCCCCACACACCCCCTAAGTCCTGGTTCACACTATTGCGGGCTGTGCATTCATTTGAATTGGCTGCTGTGCCCACTTTTCACGCAAGAAAAAGGTGCATGCATCTTTTCAAAAACGAATCCACAGGGAGACCACACGGACGTTTTTCCCATGCGGTTCCCGCACCCACAATCTTCCTGCTTGCAGATATGCGTGGGGGTGCCAGTCAGAATGAATGGCAGCCCTGCGCATCTAGTAAGAGCAACGCAATTTGTCTGGGGGGGGGGGGGGGGAAAGATGCAATTCCCACATCTGCAAACAGAATGCACAGTGCAGGCTAGTGTGAACCTACGTGACTTTTCACTCGATCCAGCACTGTTAACATCTGTGGGCTCTCTCCCCTCACTTCCTGCCATTGGCTCCCTCAGCTGTCAATCAAAGAAAGTGATGGTGAAATGGGAGGCAGGGCTGAGCTGCACTGTCTGTGTCTATAGACGCAGGCAACAGCGCTTGGGAGTGAGCCTGCACAAGTGCCCCTATAGCAACTTACTTGCTGTGGAGGCACGCGAAGTGGAGTAGACCAGAAGCGCCAGCAGGAGGACCCCAAAGGAGGACTGAGGCAGCTCTGTGCAAACCTATTTGTCATTTTTAAAAATGCAGTACGTACAGCTACTTGAATGAGGAACTAAAGTAATTGATTTACCGGTTTTTTCCAAAAACAGGTTGTATTCACACCTAGGCGTAGTGCTAATGTACACATTCTCTGCACAACAGCATTGGGCAGCTTATTCACTTGAATGGACTGCCCTACACAGGACAAAGAAGCTCTTGCAACTTTTTCGGGGTGCAGAGCTCAGCATGTTTGCTGGTCACGTTTGGGGTGCCATTAACAATTAACCACCTGCCGACTGCGCTATAGCTGAAAGATGGCTACAGCATGGTTGTCTAGTTCTGGATGGGCATCTACAACAGGGCTCGACAAATCCCAGACACCAGGTCACCATGAAAACTAGAAATTGCGTCCTGGCGCCTGGGCTCACACACTGCCTCTCATAGACTTCAGCGCAAACTCGCCTCCCATTGACTTCAGCGCAAAAATGCACCAGCAATCCTACGTGAACACTTACCTCCGCATGCCACTCTACCACTTGCGAGTCTGAAACACACCGGTACAAATTTGCACAGGACCCTTTTCGTAATGGCACTCAAAACACAATGTGTGTGGATCGCATCTGTGTGAACCACCTCAATAGGAACACATAATATAGCCTGTCATGCAAATCTGTGAGCTTGAAAACATATCCAGAATCCCAAATGTGTGAATCAGGGCAGCTTCATTAAAGCTAGGTTCACATATGTGCGGTCGGTGCTGCTGCCGATCCACACAAAATCACCACTCACACAGAAGAATGCGCACTCGCGGGTGGGTGCCATAATTCTAATGGCACGTCGCCCGCAATGAAAATCACAACCGGACTGGGAACCGAGGTCCCCATGCAGGCTGCGTTTTCAGAAGAAGTGCAGGGATTTCTTCCCTGCGTGGCCCGTGGCAAAGGAGTCCATTCAAATGAATGGGCTGTCATGCCTGCGCAAAATGTGGCCCACAGGAACGCGGATATGTGAACCAGAGGTAACACCATGGCATTTTGGAATCGCAGCAGAAACGCTGTGATCGCAAAATGTAGGTTCATGTGCCATTATTTTCAATTGAACCTAAAACATGCAGTTTTGCCATGATTGCAGTGCAGCAAATTGCATCATGTGAGGCTTGTCATCCAAAAGTTACCTTGCCCCAATACAAATTTCATATGGCTACAGTGTTGAATGACCACGCAACTGTCCATCCTAGCGTGACAGCGCTGAACACTGGCCTGGGCTAGGGTGGCCACCTCATCCCTTTAAAACTGAACACATATGAATGACACAGGTTCTGGGGCTGATTAAGGTGGTCATTAAACTCACTTAGTACCTTATCTGCAATACAGTAGCCCCAGAACCTGTGTCATTAATGTGTTCAGTTTTAAAGGGATGAGGTGGCAACCCTAACCTGGGCAAGAATGGGGTGAAAGTGACCGGTACTGAAGTGGTTAATGGCACAGCAACATGCATTTGTAGCGTGATCCCATAACATACAGGTATGAATGGAGCCTTACGTTCAGGTCATGCTGTGCATGATCACTGCAGAGGCGTATTTACCACAAGGCACTTGCCTAGGGCGGCATTTTTCAGGGAGGCAGCACCTCCCCCCAGAAGAAGGGATGAAAGAAGGGACATGCGTTCCATAGGAACCAGGTGGGATCCTAGAGAGGCTGTGGGCTGCTTGATTGTGAATGTAGAGCCTGACTCCCGTTCCCAGGGATGTCTGGAGCTGTGAAGATGAGTGTCTCTCTATCGTGGGGGGTAGTGGAAGGCTCTCCCGAGAGCGGGGCAGCCTCAGGATCTCTCTGCAGGAGGGGGTGTTGGTCGGTATCCATTAGGGCAGATGATTTTTGTGTTGCCTAGGGCAGCACAAAACCTAAACACACCACGTGATCACTGTCACAGTTGCTTGTGCTCTCCATAGCATTGTCAAGCCATCATCTGTTCACCATGGCAACTGCAGGTCCAACAGAGGCCAAGATGGCAGCTTCCTTGGTTTGTGACCCCTAAAAGGGATCAGGGTAGCTTTAGCTTGGGGATTACAGCTGTCCCGCTCTCACCTATGACAGATCAGAGACAGATTATCTGTGAATAGATTGTGGCCTGACCATTCTTCACATTACCAATCTCATCTACGTCCTAATCACAATGTAATGACATGTGCAGAGCCCCAGGGACAGGTTCTCTTGGCGTCATGCCTCTCCCGCAATATCTCACCCAGGACGGGGCCCCTCCCGGCTTCATCAATCCCCAGACAGCAGGCTTCCCGGGTGCACAGCGCCGGTACCGGGGAGGACAGCAGACAGTTCCTGACATTGTCCTGTTCGAACTTCTCCAGCTCCATGCTAGCAACACCACTTCCGGCAACAAGCAGGCTTCCCGCCAACTACGAGCTGACGTCAGCACGGGCTCCGACCAATCAGTAGCAGACAGTATTCACACGCAGCTGCAAAGCAAACGTTGTCAGCCTATGTGAAGTGTGCTGGTGGAGGGGAGATTTGTGCTGGACCCTCACGAGGGGCAGCCCTCTGATTGTTAGGAGTCAGGATATTGAGGACATTTATGGAGGATTGCAGTTCAAGCGAATCTGGGGCCAAACTTCATTCAATTCATTGGGGCCCTGGACATAACAATACAAATCATGAGACATTCTGCTGTATGCCACGCTCAGTCCCTTCATGCAACAATTTATTACTTTGTATCTTGGCCCATAGTGCCCAAACTAAGGCCCTTTGCACTTTTCCAGCTTGTCCTCAGTCTCTGACCATCTCCAGTATCAAGTCTGCGGTCTCTGACCATCTCCAGTATCAAGTCTGCGGTCTCTGACCATCTCCAGTATCAAGTCTGCGGTCTCTGACCGTCTCCAGTATCAAGTCTGCGGTCTCTGACCGTCTCCAGTATCAAGTCTGCGGTCTCTGACCGTCTCCAGTATCAAGTCTGCGGTCTCTGACCGTCTCCAGTATCAAATCTGCGGTCTCTGACCATCTCCTCTGTCATGTCTGCGACCTCTGACCGTGTCCTGTGTCATGTCTGCGGCCTCTGACCGTGTCCTGTGTCATGTCTGCGGCCTCTGACCGTGTCCTGTGTCATGTCTGCGGCCTCTGACCGTCTCCTGTGTCATGTCTGCGGCCTCTGACCGTCTCCTGTGTCATGTCTGCGGCCTCTGACCGTACCGTCTCCTGTGTCATGTCTGCGGCCTCTGACCGTCTCCTGTGTCATGTCTGCGGCCTCTGACCGTCTCCTGTGTCATGTCTGCGGCCTCTGACCGTCTCTTGTATCTTGTCTGCGGCCTCTGACTGTGTCATGTCTGCGGCCTCTGACCATCTCCTGCGTCATGTCTGCGGCCTCTGACCGTCTCCTGCGTCATGTCTGCGGCCTCTGACGTCTCCTGCGTCATGTCTGCGGCCTCTGACGTCTCCTGCGTCATGTCTGCGGCCTCTGACGTCTCCTGCGTCATGTCTGCGGCCTCTGACGTCTCCTGCGTCATGTCTGCGGCCTCTGACGTCTCCTGCGTCATGTCTGCGGCCTCTGACGTCTCCTGCGTCATGTCTGCGACCTCTGACCATCTCCTGCGTCATGTCTGCGGCCTCTGACGTCTCCTGCGTCATGTCTGCGGCCTCTGACCGTCTCTTGTATCTTGTCTGCGGCCTCTGACTGTGTCATGTCTGCGGCCTCTGACCGTCTCCTGCGTCATGTCTGCGGCCTCTGACGTCTCCTGCGTCATGTCTGCGACCTCTGACCATCTCCTGCGTCATGTCTGCGGCCTCTGACGTCTCCTGCGTCATGTCTGCGACCTCTGACCATCTCCTGCGTCATGTCTGCGGCCTCTGACGTCTCCTGCGTCATGTCTGCGGCCTCTGACGTCTCCTGCGTCATGTCTGCGGCCTCTGACGTCTCCTGCGTCATGTCTGCGGCCTCTGACCATCCAGTATATTATGCCTTTAGTCTATATCCTGCTGTGTCTACTGTCTCTGACACTGAATTTTATGTGTGGCTCTTTAGTGTTGTCCATGGCTGCACTTGAGATCCACCATATCAAGAATGTTGACCAACACTGATCTAAAACACTAAAACAAAAATGAGAGGGAGACATACCACTCCTTCCATGTGGTGGCTGCGTTCTTTTTCTTTTTTTTAATGTTTTTCCTTTATTTTCACCAGGTGATCCAGCCATTGATACATTTCCGGTCTTCGAGTGGCTACAATCACTGTACTATATCTATGGAAAAGTAGAACTAAAGGCAAAATGTTTTTTCATTTTGAATAGAGTAATAGAAGGTTATAACCCCCGGCCCATGTTGCCATCTGTGGCCCATCACGGAGATTCCCCTTCACTTCCTGTCCCATAACCAAAACAGGGAGTCAGAGGAAATCTCTCTCTAAAGTTGTCACCAGAACTAGTGTCCTGGAAGTTTTCCCCTCTATCCCTGTTCCCAAAATGTCCTTTCACTCTCGGAGATATTAGTATGCTAGGCAAAGAGGGAGGCTGAATCATTTGTCATTTTTTTTATTTTGCCTGTAGTTCCACTTTTGCTCAGATTCATTTATGTTCTTCATAGGAATGATCGCTCCATCTTGATGAGAATGACTGTTTGTTAATCAAATTAATGATTCATGGAAAGAATAGCTATTTGGAACGATCGGCCAGTGTGATGTGATCATCATCATTGTACTGTGAGCAGTTCTTTATGCAGGCCATAGACGGGTCGGAAATCGGCCGATTTTTCTTTAAAAAAATGAAAAATCGGTCGTTCAAGCGGCCGACGTTACCAGCAACGGTAAAAAAATAGGCCAACTTTCATCCCGTCTACAGCCGGCAAAAAGTGTCCCTGCAGAGAGCTCTGCTATTTCTTCTGACAGTTCCTTGACATTTATAGCGGTTGCAACAATGTATCTATTTGTATCCATTTAGGATACAGATGTTTTTATTTGGAAACAAATAGATACATTGTTGCAATCGCTATAAATGTCAAGGAACTGTCAAAGAAATAGCAGAGCTCTCTGCAGGGACACTTTTTGCCAGACTGGAATTCCTCATCCTCATCATCTTCTGCTTCTTCTTCATCCTCTTCTTCTTTTTGTCTTCCTCTTGCAGGTCACGGCTCATGCGCAGATTTTTTTTATCGGTAAAATATCGGCCGATTTGCCCGTCATTGCCGCGAAAATCGGCCGATCGGCAAAATTGGCCGTTTTTTTTTTCCAACTTTACCGATTAAAAAAAATCTGCCAAAATACCACAAAACGGCCGAACATTTAGCCCACTAACGATCCGAAAATCGGCCGATTTTCGACCCATCTATGGCCTACATTACTCATACATACCTCTGAACTGCTCCGGATTCCGCAGAGCTGTCTCAGGATTTCAACAAATTCCAACGCACAATTCCCAACACACGTTCCTGTAGAAATGGCTGTATGTATAAGTGTCAAATCAAAATCTCTGTGAATCCAGAAAGAAAAATAAATCTTTCACCCTTGAAAGTGCAAATATCATAAACCTTTTCTACAATCCTTCCCCAAAACTCAAATCCTACCCCACATTCCCAATATATCCAAAAGATGTCCACAATGCAAAGTCCAAAATTATAAGAAAACCTTTTCTTCAATCCCTCAATCCCCTTCCTTAAATCTCAATAAATTCCAAAATCAAAAGTCCACCACAAGTCCACACTAATATAAGATCTTCAAGCATTGAAAATTGTCCCATTCATCACTTCAAATCCAGGAAACCTCAAATAAAATAAACTGAATATAGTGCATTAACTTTTAGCAACAATCAAATATTGTGATACCATGCAAAAGTCACTCGTGAGAGAAAAAAAAAAATAAAAAATGTTATTTTAAATGACTACTTTTAGTGGATCTCATGTATAAAATATTATAAATAAAATTAGGGTGAATACATCTACACAGCCCACTCGTGAGGTGAATCCACTGCAAAATAACCAAACTTGTGATATATGTGCAAAAAGTGCCAACACTTCAACAAGTAAATACACAGCAAGTGCTCAACTTGTGAGTATGTATAATCCACAATCCAAAAATAAGTGCCACCACTCTGGTAGGATTAAAAACTATTACCCTCTTTCATCTCTCATAGGCATTTTAAATACTCCAGGGTACAACAGCTTTCTCCTTGCAGATAACTCTAAGCATTGTTCCCCGATCATTCAATAAAATGAACGTCCATCCTGTTCCAGCATAACCATAGCTAAACCAGCAACAAAGATGGCCGCGCTGCTCCTTCCGGTTTTGCGTCTGACGTCACGATCTGACGCGTTTCGTCACTTCCGACTTTTTCTCAAGGGATTGTTGTTAAAAGTTAATGCACTATATTCAGTTTATTTTATTTGAGGTTTCCTGGATTTGAAGTGATGAATGGGATAATTCTCAACGCTTGAAGATCTCATATTAGTGTGGACTTGTGGTGGACTTTTGATTTTGGAATTTATTGAGATTTAAGGAAGGGGATTGAGGGATTGAAGAAAAGGTTTTCTTATAATTTTGGACTTTGCATTGTGGACATCTTTTGGATATATTGGGAATGTGGGGTAGGATTTGAGTTTTGGGGAAGAATTGTAGAAAAGGTTTATGATGTATGTGTTAAGTGGATGCTACAGCGACCACCGGCTGGAACCGAAGACAGACGGAGTATGAGAATGTCACCAGCACACACCATGGATCTCCAGAATGGGTCCAAAGCTTTATTCAGCGATCACATTGTTACAGCAGAAGCAACGTTTCAGAGCCTTGCAGAACTCCTTTTTCAGGCATGTGACATCACATGCCTGATGAAGGGATCCTGCTAGCAGGGCCATGGATAAGGGGGTACCACCAGTCTTCCTGCAGGGGGCCCAGTCAGCTGATTGAATCAGATGTGGGGAAGGAGGGTGATCGGCATGGCGGGGGGGGGGGGGATTGCAGGAACCAAACCCCTGCATGGCTCTCTGCAGCAGCTGAAAGCATTCTTCTTTCCTCCCTCCCGCTGGCTTTCAGCGGCTGCAGAGAGCCATACAGGATCGGTTCCAGTAATTGCCCTCCAGAGCACCCATCAGCCTCCCTGTGCACCATATGTTTCCTCCTGCTGCCCAGGCCCCCTTGTGTGCCCCCAACCCTTGCAGCACTACAAGAACACAATAGGATCTGTCACATTTACCAGCCCCTTCCTTTCCTAATTAAACATGCGTGATCGGTACCGGTCACTCACTGTGTTCATTCATAACTGAAGCATAGTAAATGGGGTTTTTTTTTCTGGGTGGGGGACTGTCAGGTTGGCTGTATGGGGCCCTGTGGTTTCTAACAGCAGCCCTACCTGCAAGGCTATGAAACATTGCTTCTGCTGTGACAATGTGATCGCTGAAT